GATTTAATTCAGACGAATTAGCGCAGCCAGTTGGCGGGAGAGGAACCGAGTAATTTAGTAATTGTATCCACTAACAACGAATTAAATAGTAATCAATAGAACTGGGGCCCGGCCGCGGGCGATTGATGCGTTTACACGTTACGGATACGACACGACCACGTCACGGGATTTTTTCAGTACTTTTAATTTGTGACACAGACTATGTAATAATATTGTCACTGTCTGGCTGTCAGACAACGCAAGTCTGCAAGCATATTGCACTAAATTTGTTAAGTTAACGTTAGATAATACTGAGAACGATTTTTTAATGTTTCAAACCAGGAGGAACTATTTCAATCGGTTTTTCTACTACATCCAAATATATTCTTCGTATATTAATTACGAAGTAGTTTTTACGCATAATAGAGACTATACCTACATGTTGTGATGGGGTACTTTTAAAGGAAACAACCCGTCAACACAAATTAGATAATTTTTATATATTTTTTAAATTAATAAAAAATATGGTCTTGGTACGTCAAACGTCCGAACCTATGCCTCGGTGCATGATGGTTTACGCTCCGTTACTAAATTATGTACGTAACTATTACAGCGTTACAATGTATATTTAGTACTATAGTTATATTTAATATACAAAATATTAATAGCTTTGGTACACTTCCATTGCTTGCGTTCTAAAGACGCGAATTTAAATCGCAAGTGTGGACTCTGTCATTTCTGTTTGATTACTATTTTGGAATAATTGTACCTGTTTTGAACCCTATATAAAAATTTCAATAATATTTATCAATATAAAGTAAAGCATTAGAACTAAAATGTATATAAACAATTTTATAGATTTGGTCTTTAAGTGTAAATGGAATTTAACGGCACTCAGTTGCTATTGTTTTAAATGGTACATTCTGCTACAAAAATAGATTAATGAGGTCGATCTTCGAAGTCGGTTAGCAATTTTCGAATTGTAAACCAATTATCGTAGTTCATTATGCCTTAAAATCAACAGAATGAAAACACTAGAAAACAAAACAATCAAGTCAACTTAAGGGGAGTGTAATAGTAAATGAAAGCCAGTAAACAATACAAAGTTACATGAAATAAAACAAATTTTGCGGACTTTGTCGTTTTTAAAACCGCACACGGTTACGAGACAGACTGATATGTTTTTCGTCCAAAATGTCACAGTTGAACTGACTTGTACGAAACAGGTCAGTTTGGCGACAGAATACGACGATCCTAAGAAAGTTCGATGCGAAGCAAAAGTATTGTTAAATTTGCTGGTCGGAGGTGATGGTCACTTTCCGTGGATCACAACTGCAATATCTCCAATTCTCCACTGTATCCATTAGACAGTCTTCATATAATTTAATTCTTTATGTACGTCTTGACCAAGAAAGATTTTAATGCGATAAACACTAGTCGTTCCGCGCGTCTCGTTACCGAAGCTTTAATAGACCTCAGGACTGAATAAGGATGTTCTAAGCAACAAGGATTCTTGTTAGTTATTCCATTACATGGGCAAGCAATTAGTCTGGCAAGGGTTGCACTGCGGCTGCCGTTCAGAATGAGCCAGAAATAGCATGAAATCGATGCGCTCATTATCAGACAATTAGCCTAGTAGGTCGCGGGCGTTTCATCTTCATCGTAATCATCTCATATCACGCATCAGAGCATACGCTATTAAGCAGCAAGTAGTTTAGCTGTGCACGACTATGAAGCAAACTTGAAAGTAAACTTTTACCTGTATTTACTTCGAACCTGCGAACGGTTGATACGGCACTTAATGGCTGCTGGCAAGGTTTTTAAGTGAAAAGTTGTCAGGCGTTACACCTGATGTTAAATTAATACCGCCGCCTGTGGACATTAACAACACCCGAAGGCTTGCTGATGCGTTGAAAACCTTTAAAAACTTGGCCCTGCTTATTTCAGTCATCAGACTAAACGTGAATTTTTAATATTTCCACCTCACGCCGGTCTTCTGTGAGGCCGTGGTACTTCCACGGACGAGGCTGCCCATTCGTGCAGACTGTTGCGTGATTCACCACAGTTCTACATGATACACTGCTATCATGTGTGGGTACTGCTCTCTAAGAATGCTGTTGTGATTCTTTTTCTTAACTAAGATCGGTGGATCAAGCCATATTAATGATGACTTGCTACCAATCTAGACCGGTTAATTAAAGATGGGTAAGGTTTGTTTGCGTGAGCCCTGTTGGGCGTAAATTTAATACCCTATCGAAGACGAAAATGTTTTCGCTTATCAACAAAAACTTAAACAACTGACAAAAACAGGAGTGATTAAATTTTAAGTTTATATTAAATTAATAAATGAACGAAGATGTTTTAACACTAACTGCTTTAATTTGTGACATGTCGACGACAACGTTCTGCAGAAGTTCGGTCAAGTGGGAAACGCATAAGCTGATCCCGTTAGGGTCAAAACTACTCAGATTTTATTTTTTTTGTCTCAAATTATAATCCAACACATGTATAAGCCAAGATGCCCAAAAGTATTCTATCTGTTCAGGGCTGTCAATTTCTAACTTCGATTTATCTAAAGTTTATTTTAATTACCAGCCTATCACAATGGGTTAGGTTCGCTTTAGCTCCCATGTTATCCCACATAGTTTCATTGTTATTGGAACTTCGACACAGAAGATTCATCGGGATCTCTTCAAAATCAAACAATGTACAGTGTGTATTTGCAGTGGTTTTTGTTTTTTGTTGGTAAAAATGTTGTTGTATATAACTAGCTACATAAAGGAATTACAGTCACTTTAAATAATTACCCGACCGCTCTTATTTATATAAGGTAAACTGTCTAAGCCATATTATAATGGAATGATACCATTTAACTTTTATCGATATTACAATATCATTGAAATAAAAGGATATGAGGAGATTCTGGGAATTCCGCCAGTTAGTTATATAAGTACACACAATCAAGTTTCTGAGATACTGGTAAATAGTATCTAATCATGTTTAATGATATAATAACGTAATTCTACCTAATAACCTCCGTCAGTGTTGTGTCGCATAAATAGGTAGCTATGATTGTACTTCTAAAGTTGTAACATAAAAAAGTGTTTTAAATTTAACTAATGCGAATCAAACTTGTTTGCTTAAGAAAAAAATAATTTTATTACACGAAAATAACACCATTTTAATTTTAATATAGATAAATAAAAACGCGAAACTCGTCATTGAATGTCAGATCGAACAGAGGAAGGTTATTCAAGTGTAAGTTTACTTACGATTTCACATTGTTTATATCGCGTTTGTTGTTTGGTATGATGGATGAAGGTTACGAGTAAGTGTTCGACACGTTTTTATTAAAGTCAAAGTTGGACGCGATAAAATTCGTATAATATACGATTAATTTTATTTTTAAGTGCTGGTCTCTGTACTAAAGATGAAGTCGATAAATCAGCGGACACGTAGCTCAGAAGTTAAAGCGTCTGGACATGTGAGCAAAAAGGTTCGATTCCTGCGGTGAAATTTTTTGACAGTTTGTCTTCAATAAATTCACGTCTTATCTGTATATAAAAAATATTTACACTAAATTAATTATTCACATACGGGAATGGAACCGGCGTCTTCCGGAATCGTGTCCAGTCCTTAAATCATTAAGCTAAAAGGCATATCGACGGACACGTCTGAAAGAATTGGTTTCATTCCCGCAGGGGCGAAAAATTTTTACGTTTCATCAAGTGCAGAGTTAGTTACATTGTGCTAATATAATTTTCCTTATCTTTATGTATGTATTATAATTTAAATTTCATCACCGGATATCTGTAAATGACTTTAATTGTAATGGTATCGATAATGCCTTACCGACTGGTAAGTAACTGGTAGTCTTAGATTTGAATTAACCTTGACTTATTTGATGTAGTTTTAGGTAAATGAAATAATTTCCGTATATATTAAATATCAGTTTGTGTGTCCGTTGCACTATTACCATGTTATAGTAGAGTTCAACCATGGTGCATTAACTTTGCGATAAGAACCAAGCACTATATTACCAGCAAAGTCAAAAAGATAATAGGCTACAATTAAGATTCACTAAATCCAGAATCAAATCTGCTATTGTTTAGCTCGATGCAAATGCATCGTTCACCAGTCACCTGCGCTATTCTGATTCGTGGCTGAAACAAAGTTCGCAATTGACTTACGCCGCCGCTCTCCTGCGTCGGATGCCACCAAGCCTACTTTGGCGGGCTAATCAACTTTATGGATACAGTTACCGATCGCACTCACCAACTTCCGAACGGCCGAGTCTCCGCTCTTTATAGCATTACGCCGAACAATGGTAGGACATTGTTCGACTTCGCAAGAGCTAATGGGTCGCTTCGGTGCTTAGAGCGGACCAACTTTTATAGATAAGTACAGTCGAGTTGGTCAGTTGAGTGTGGCATTCAGAGTCTCTTTTAATTTTTTAATGTATCGCTCTAGTACGGTGGTCTTGATGTGTAAAGTCCGTAATTATATATGCAAATTTTGCTTGCTTTATTTATTTCACTAATGTAAATACGTGCACATGTCTCAACTGCAAAAACCCGCAAGGCAAAAATAATAATTGTTACTTATAATTAGAGCCTTAAGTTCACTAGCCCGCAAATATGTTTATTATCGAAGAATCATCAGTCAGGTAAGCTCACACGTTCTAGGCTGGGAGACAGTCGGAACTTCTGTATAAAATTAGCGAGCGAGCTAACAGTTCGCCTGATGGCAATTAACGCAGCCAATGGACATATACCACATCTGAGGGCTTGCAGGTTTGATGCCAGATTTTATAAACGGTAGGGCCTGTTCACAACAGACGTCACGCAAAACTATAATACTCCCTCGCGCTTATCTTCTGCGCTGCCGTGATACTTCCCCGCAAGAGCGAAAGCTGTGTTGACAGTCCGTAATTGCCCAATAATGGGCTTACTCCGTTGTTGTGGGGGAGGTCTATGCTCAGCAATGAATTCGAATAGTTTCAAATTATGATATTGACTTACTTGGCGAGTCGGCGAGCAGATCGCCGTCGTCCTGCGATGGCGATTTGACGGAACCCGGCGACAGTTTGATGGGGGCGTGCGGCGAGTTGTTCGGCGCAGAGCCGCAGCCCGAGCCGCTCGTCGCGCTGCTCGGCGCGCCGCTCGCGTGCGACGTGGTGATCGTGATCTCGCCGTTAGACGCCGCGAGCCTGCATGTACAGGGAGATTTTTAGAGAAGTGCCCAAATTTACACAGGAGGTTCAGACTCGATAGGATAACCGTTTATTGAAATAAAAAACAAAGTTTTTTTTGTCAAAAAAAAAAATATGCCATTCTATTCCCTAAAAAACAAAACGTATTGACAATGCGGTAGTCATTCATAAATACCTAAATTTTACTGTGCACGAACTTGTGTGCGTGTTAGTTATGAATGATCGCGCGTAAAATAAATGAGTTGCGTATAAATGACGCACTTTTTGAGATAAGTTCAAATGAATGTAATTAATTACTTACGAGTGATTTCAAATATTTGTCATGTTTTATATAACTTTATTTATGTTTAGAGTGTAATAAAAAAAATGGATACTCTTCGAAAAGCCACCCTGTATGTAAACTTATTTACTGCTCTGTTGTATTCGCTGAGTGTGTTATGTTTGAAATTAGGCCTTGATATTAAATTTCAAGCCGCGAGCCTGCATATATGTGAAGTTATTAACAGCTCTGTTGTATTTGCCAAGCGTGATGTTTGAAAATAGGCCTTGAAGTTATTTTTTTTACAGAAATATTAATTATTTCGCTTATTAGAATAAAGATAGCTTGTAATTAAGTTTACAGCGCGTGCTATTTTATTTCGTTTTAATGTCAAAAAATGATATATAAGTATGATCTGTCTAAATATCTACTTTGTTACTTGTTTACTTAAATATATTATTCGCCGCAGCCAGTTCGCACTTCCGTGTATTGTTAAAAAAATTAAGCGTACAATATTTTTTTTTGTTTTATTCGCATTTTAAACACTCGATTTACCATTTTCCCTCTTCGTTGCAACAATAATTTTATATCAACGTATAATAACACTTAAACGATGTCAACTTCAAAAAAAAGTACCTAATGTTATTTTTATTAATAAATCTAGTTATTCATTAGACAATGGAGTAATATCTACGTTTTCAAAAATGTATGCCCGTTTACTTATCGCTTACTTCTATACAATTTTAAGCGAAAATGGAAACGCCGTCTTTTATATCGTGTCTTTAACGTTATCGAAGCTTCGAACTCGTACTGGTCGCCATTTTACTAGCTTTTTACATACCTATATATCCTCAGTAGTGGTTCAATAGAAGTGACATAACGGAAACAGAAACGGATGCAGAAACGGAATTGTAAATACTACGAAAAAAAATTTTTATTCAGTAACATTTAATACTGAAAGTTATGAATTTTGGTTTGGCCGGTTCTACACACAGACAGCTTCGGTGTGAAACACGGGGTGTTTTCATAAAACCGTTTAAATTTCCCACACAAAAGTTGCGGAAGCTGGAGCAGGAGCGGACGTTGAAAGGCGTGAGGAAACAGAAGCAGATCTCTGTTGCATCACTAATCCTTAGTTACGCAGCTTTCGTTAAAGTAGCCACTCGGGCGACGACGGGCGCGCTTTATGCTCGCGGGTGAAAAAAAAAAACACGAACGGAAAGTGAAATGGCGGGAAACGAACGGCCCGCCGCACTGGGCCAACAATGGCGCGCGCGAAATGAGGTGCGCGCGTCATTAAGTGCGCCGCGGCATTAGAGGTAATTGCTGGCTAATTACTGCCCTTCCGTTGCGACCCTTGCGCGGTGCTTCTTACAGCGCGCGCACTGTCACACGTTGCGGGCTGCGTACATTCTGTTCGACGGTCTGATGTGTGGAAGAAAATGAGACGTTGAGTTTTTCATGTGACGAGATGGCAAGCGAGCCGGCGGTTCACCTGATGTTGAGGTAGACAACTGCAGCAACCATACGGGTGTAATGTTGGCATTTTTTTATAAAGCGCGCCCTGGTTCCTCACTCAACAGACGAAACGTAATATAACACTTCCTCTTCACGCCTTTTCTTCTTCTGTGAGGTCGGTGGCACTTCACCGGACGGTAAAGTCTGCTGCGTGGCCCCGTTTAGATGACTTCACTAAGACTGTTGTCTGATTTCAAAAAGTCGTAGTGATGTTAACCACCAACCACCGAAATATCCCAAAATATCTTCTATAAAGACAATTTTTTTGTTGTTATTGCATGTTTATTCTAAGACTCAAGCGCCTCAACAAGCCACGTTTTTATTTAGACGCGCATAAAACATTCTTTCTTGTCTCGATAGAGATCGAGCGAACTTAACTCTTAATTTAAGTGACGTTCCATGTGACAACAATCAATTGTAACAATCATATTTGGAAAGAATATATTTCCTTAGTTTATTCATGGGAATAAATAAGCAAATCGAAGTTCAAGCTCACTAATAGTTGAAGTTGAATAGATCGAAGAGTTCGCTAAGGAATACTAGACAGTTTCGGCAATAACTCTTTAGGAATTGTTAAGAAAACTATTTATAATACATATATTGAAGTGCAAACTTGATCCCTTTTTAGGGTTCCGTTTCCAAAGGGTAAAATGGGACCCTATATCTAAGACTCCGCTGTCTGTCTTTCGGTCAGTCCGTCTGTTCCCAGGCTGTATCGCATGAACCGTGAAAGTTAAAGTTATCACTAAACAACGAATACTAAAGAACAGAATAACAAAATATTTAATTTCTAGATGATACTTCGAGTGCGAGTCGCACTTGGGCGGTTTTTTAAGAATAATGTATGCACGAAGGAATGTGAGATTCGCCTTTGAAAACGATGAAGTTTATGAACAATATCTGTATCTATACATAAAAAAACGAAAAATAAAACATTCATTGTTTACGTTCACACACAATAAATGACAAACACCTTATATATAATCTGTTGTGGCATGAAATAAAATTTTAAAATGTCAGCTGGACTGGGTGAATGAGAAAAATAGTTCAATACCTATTTCAATTTAAAATTCAATGAATTCCGACCGAATTTCGACTATACGAGACGAGGATAAGCACTACTAGTTATAAAAATGCATCATGATTATTATAATAACGATTTCATATACATATAGGAGAAAGGCAACTGGGTAGAAAAACCTAAAGTGGTAATTGATCAAAATATTTATAAATAAGCTAAAAAGAATAACAGCCCTCGAAATTTTTGACATAGAAACGAGCAATTGAAATATTTGATTAAGTATAATATATATGTATTCAATATGGCACTTGATCTCGTTTGCACCTACAGTTATAATATTTAAATTAAATGCACCGTTATCGCAATATTATCATGTGACAAATTTTAAACACTGATTAAACATTACTTGCCCGTCATAATGAGAGTTAAAATTATTTACAAAACAATTACCGCGTTAATCAGATGTTTTAACGCCAATTGCTGATGTATGCTTATTTTGAATGATAAATTAGAGGTTTATATTATTATTTAAACCAATGAAAACATATATCTTCCATAAAAGTAGGTACATTTGAAAGAGGGTTATCATCACTGTTACAGTTATTCTAAATGCGTAGGAATTTTTATAAGCAGCTTTTTTGTAGGTTGTCTATTAATCGTGAATTGGCAGGTAAACGACTGTTTTAGCTTTTTTTTTTCAATTAAATATAAGTCTCGTGTGCAGGCTAGTTTAGCGAACGAAGGAGCCGTCACACACACATCCACCCGGCCGCAGCTCAACACGCACGCACACACCCACCAAGTGTAAACTCTCCAGCGCCGCGCACACAAGCGCGCGAGACATTAATTGTTCCTTCAATTTATCAACACGTAGAGCACTCGACGTCGAAACTACGCCTTTTCGAGATAATTATTTCGAGAGAGAGAGAGAGAGAGAGAGAAAAAAACGAAGTAATAACAACTCGGCTCGGTGGCAAATTTAATTATTAACAAGCTTATTTTCTTGTCATTCGCGTATGACCTTTGGTAAGTGCTGGATGCGATTGGTTTACGGCGGGCGCGGTTCGGGCCTCCGAGGCATGATTACGGAGGGCCGCTTTATTGGGGTCAATAATTGCTTTTTAATAAAGTCAAAGCCAAACTCATAAAAGAGTCCAAGAGATCGTTTTGACAGGCCGCAATTTCGCCAAAGCTGTTGTTCTTATATTGCTTATAATTATCGCTGGCATTAATGAGCGCCGTGGTCATCGCGATACGATTATGTTGATGTTTCTTATTTATTGTGGTCCGATATCGCCTCACATGTTTATTGCTCGCCGGAGAGTGAATTTATTCTTTAACGGTTCACGTGAAATGTGTAATGAAGTCGAGAGATGATCTTGTCAATTATTCACCGGAATTATTTACAGACGATTTTAAGCGATCGCGTGGGTGTTTAATGAAAGCCCGGAGTATTATAAAAAAAAATGGTGGACACAATTAAATGAGAGAAAGTTGTTCGCCCAAATAGTAATTCAATTGTAAGTAATTGTTAATATGTGAATTAAAAAAAGAAAATACCAAAATTAAAGTCTAAAGCCCGCATCAATTTGGATAAGAATATTATAATACTATCGTAATTTGAAATCTGCTGTTACAATGGGTTGCAATGACATCCAATGTTTAAGTACGTAAATACAATCTTTGGGGTGTAAATATGTGGAGCTAGTGAATCCATACTTATATTATAAATGCGGAAGTAACTCTGTCTGTCTATCTCGCTTTCACGCCAAAACTACTGAACCGATTTAAATGAAATTTGGTACACAGACAGTCGAGACCCTGAGAAAGGAAATAGGCTTATAAAGAGTTCTTAAAGGGGATGGATATTTATTTAAGGGCTTCAACGCGAGTAAAGCCGTGGGCGAAAAGCTAGTAATAAATATTTTAATGCACCCTTTGGACGTACTATTTGATGATATATTTAAGACGCACCGTTTTCACAGAAAAGTACCTAGTTTAGACTCCAAGCGAAACCATAAATAGCGAAGGATGGAGCCCACGCTGGATTTCGGGATACGTCTGCTCGCTTCTTCACTGTTGCGAATCAATTTTTCATTTTCGTAATTTTCTACGAAATCAAAAACATTATCGCTCGAAAGCGGATTTCGCGGTATTTTTACCCACGTATCGCCATAACAAAGCTCTTATAAGCAAGCA